GTTGACGGCCCGCTAGTGGACAACCCCAGATGATCCCAAAGGTGGTGATGGATCAACGGATGGTCGTTGTGGATGGTCAGTTCCACGTGAGGATGACAAGAGATCCAGCGATCCACGAGATGGGACTGGTGTGGACTACGCGTTTGGCGCGGCCACCATGGACGGTTGCGGCGGTTGGGCACATGCACCTGGATCGACCCGTATCTCACGCATCGCATTGTCGTTGGAAGTCCATGGCAAGATGAGACTATTCATAAAGGTCCACGTGCTGGTTTCTACCAGATTGCGACATTTTTTGTCAGCCTCACATCGTCCCGAGGCTTGCCACCGTTCAGAAGCAGATCAGGCCTTCAAAGCATTGACGCGCACATCATCTCAGCTTCAGTCGTCCTCATGCAGGTAGGCACATGGAAAGGCACATGAGACTTCATGAAAATGGACTTTATCCGGCGACTTCATTTCCCAGGACGCAGGTCCATCACGTTGCCAAACGCAACCATCCACTGCAAGGTTGGCTTGGACGGCCCGATACCAACAACAAACGCCAATCTCTCTCCTCCGGGCAGCGGGATATTTTCCGGCACAGGCAACTTTAAAATCTGGAAATAGCTCAACACACTCCCATCGTCGGCGGCCTCACCTGCCTTTCACCCGGCGGAAAATCCCACTGCACCTCAGCGCTGACCGCCCAGATGGACGTGGACTGACTCGGTTACCTTCTCACTCCTACCCCGTGAAATGCTACGGATGTTTATCGGTACTTTAGGTCACATATGTATGTTCTCCATGGGGTTGACTATGCACGTTGACCAAAAAAGACAGAAAAAGTCGCCCGGGCAGCACCGCATCACGTTCCCGAAGTGGGGCCGATTTTCTCCGATCCGCACAAAGTTTCAACATCGGTGTCTTCTGTTCAATGTTCTCATTTGGCCATTTCAACTGCCACTCGCTAGATGTATTCAGCTGCTTTCCGATATTTGCCCTCGGCCGACAAGGTGGGATTTGAGACATACCTAGGCTTTCTGATGCCACAAATATCGGCACCCATCTTTTCTATCAAGCTTGTGGCCGTTGATGCACAAACACCATATGGAACTTGGCTTGTGAGAGTGCAAGACCTTTCAGCCTCTGGCTGCCTCCGGCTGCCCGGGTCCTTCGCCTTCACAAGATTTACTACCTTTTGCTGCACTGGGTTACTGGTTAAGGGTGTGCTAGAAGTTGACTGCGGCTAGAGCGCCTTTTGCAAAAAAGTAAATTCGAGCTGACATCAGCAACCTGTTGGCGCAAGCCTGTAGACGGGCGATTGACGGCTAGCCATCGGCGGCGGTCGGCTAGGCGGCAGAGCAAGACACCCTTGGCGGGACGGCATCCGTGGACCATCACGGTAGTAGGCCAAGAGGCGGAGAACGACCAGTCCGAAATCTGTTCGGCACCGTCCTCAACATCGGCTTACCACGGGATCATTCGTGATCTGTCCATTCAAATGCGCTTCTAGTTCAGTCACAGCCAACGGCCGTAGACGATATCTTTGGGGACCCGATGTGTCAAGAATACGGTTGGCGGCGGTCTACCTCTCAAAAAACGCAGCCCGCTGTCGATCGATTCGCGTCGGGAGTTTACACGGTAGGACTCTATGCAGTTCAGAAAAAGCTGAGAACTGAGCGGTTCAATTCGCCGGTGGCGAGACGCAGCAGACGCGGTGCCTTTTCGCTGACCCAGCTTGCCAGCCAAGTCGCTGGTCAGAGCCATGTCCGCCATGCGCGCGTGTTATGCACCGACACCGCACCTCCCTCCCGTGCCTCTCTGGGCGGGTGCAGATGCGAAGACACGTCTTGAAGTCGAGTGAAAGCACATCTCCGCACTGCATTTGCCTCTGCGGGGAACAATCGGTACAGAAAGGTGCTCCCCGAGTCCCCAGACCAACCAGCGGAGCACGCCTTTTTGGTTTTGAGGAGAGTGAGGGAGGGAGGGGCTGCTATCAGTACCCGCAAAGATAGTGAAGGCGTTCGTGGAGCAGGGAGATAAACGTGTGCCCGACGAATTCTGTGCGGGTTCCCACTGCTGAGTAGACACACTTTTCTACGTAGAGAATCCGCCGTGGAGCATGCGCCGTCCGCCCTGGTTGCTCGCTCCATCGCCTATCCTTGCCCCGTCTGCTCGCAGCTAGAATTATGGGTCATCGGGGATTCGTATCGTGCTAGAAAACCCCCCAGCGTCTACAACACACACGCCGTTGTGGAGTTTCTCTACGGATACATGAGTAGGCGAAGAAGCGGCTACCTTAGCCGCTACGAATCGTCTGGGTTGAACGTTGATCCAGAGTCGAGATGGAGACCTCGATGAGGGTCCATCCACATCGTGAACACCCTCACGGAGGGGCCCACGAGAGGATGCGGTCCAAAGAGGAGTCTGGACGTTCGAGACCTGACGATCGCAGTCTATTTCTCCATTGTGATTGATACCGCAGCCCAGTAGTCTGGAGGGGAGTATGAACTTCTTCATTGAGACAAGTTCCCTGACGATCCCGTGGGAATTCTGGGTTCTCGTCAGATCATGGTCCTCTGAAATTCCAAATCGCGATCGGTCATCTTTTTCAAAGGAGTCTCTTTATTGTTATGACCTTACAGCCCTTAACCCGTGCAGGTGGACTAGCGATAGGGCCACAATCATGGCTTTCCAGCCGTGGGTCGAGCCCTGGGTTACAAGTTTGATATGCTCGTCTTCAACATCCGCATGGCACTCAGTCATCAACATTATGGCCACATCCCAAAGAAGAGTTTCCACAAAGTCATCATCGTCGTAGACGATTGCGTTTTCCTTCATAATGGCACCTTCCGCTCCCCACATGGCGCCATGAGACGTCGTCGAGAGTACGCAGTATGTCTTGCGGGCTGGATGCCCACCTCCGACTTCGAGTATAATAAGTACCCGCAATCAATGAGTATATGAAACCCATAGCCATCTGGCGTTCTGGGACCGTCGTTTCTCTCGTACTCTGCGACGATCATCCCTTCCCATAAGTACACCTGCCGACACCGACTGAAAAGTGTCCGTGTAGACTCAGGGACAAGATCATGGCGTTTGGGTAAATCTTTCCAAGCGACGTCTTTTTAAAGATCGTACTATCTCCCATTTCGGTCCGCAGGTCTCATATTCATTAGTGATGCAACTTAGGATGGAGGATAGTGAGAGCTTGTAAAGCGCTGCTCTACCGATCAAGGACGGCATCCCCTACTATCCACTACTCACAACATCATGATGAGATGTGTGGTTGTTCAAGAGACCACCTCCAGAGTCTTAGTCCGACAATGCACGACTGCGGCGTGTGAAGTTGGACCTTCGCGTCTACCACATGCTTATATCCAGTCGACTAGCCGTAGGCCTGATTCCATGTGACAATGCACGACTGCGGCGTGTGAAGTTGGACCTTCGCGTCTACCACATGCTTATATCCAGTCGACTAGCCGTAGGCCTGATTCCATGTATCGAAAGCCTGATATCCCAGCCACAGCAGAGAGCTATAAACTGACGCGTTTAGGGGTAAGAAACTGTTGCGTTGCTCGTGAACAACGCGTAAGTTGCGCCTCATACCGAGAAATCAGCGCATCCAGACGCGTCCGGGGCTCACTTCCGTGATCATATGGCTCTTCATCACCTCTGACTATCTTGAAACAATTGAGATGTAGGCTTCTGAATTCTCCCTGGGCACTACTGAATCAGGCTCTGCAGGAAATATTCGCGCATAGACTTGGGGGCAACTCGTGACGGGAGTGATACACTGTGCGTGAGATAGTTCGTCGACATTGATCAGACACTCTCTACTGATTCTTTGGTTCGCAAGTATATCAGAAAATGGGCAAGGAAATCAAGTCACTAGTAGGTTCGCAGCGAGAAAATGTGTCCTGTACTGTTTATGTCTCTGCCCGCTACGAGAACATATGAAAGGGCGCTATCTACTGACCAAAAAGTTAATGAAAGAGAGCCCTTCTCAAAGAGGAGTCCAAGTGACAGCAGATGAGTAGATTGTGGTCTCGATAAGAGGTTTGGAACAAGACTAGAGATTCCACCATGACCAAAGGCCAATCTCTTTTGACACATGAAAGCACGGATACAACGTAAAGAACCCATCACAGAACTCGATATACCTCCAGCCCGAAGACTTCACTTTGAAATGGCAAGGGTTCCAGCCATCAATGGGAAAACAATACGAGTCTGGCATTAGCCTATTCACTCCAGCCCCGGCATTTTTCCTTCCACCCAACCTAGGTTTTCATGTTGTCAGAAACTCAGCAAAGTCAGCATAAGCTCGAAGGGTCGACTCACCTCGTAAGTAAGCAGTTGTGACAATTTCATGCCAGGTGTATCTTGTAGAATAGATGCCTGTGGTTCAATATACGCTGACAAGATGATTCAGATCCTATGACACACCTGACATGGATACTTCGAATGAACCGACGCCATACTCGCTACTCAAATTCCGGAATGCTTCTAATTGCACTCCTGTTCCGTTCCTGCATACTAGGTCAAGAGGATCTCGGTGCAATAAAACGCTTCCCCATAACTTATCCACTGCTAAGTACTGAAACTTTCAGACATTTATCATAAAACTAGGATCACCGAGGTCTCAGATACCAAAGATCGGAAGCTGGATTCCTTCAAGACTGAACCCCAGAGTCAGCAAAGGCGGACATCGAATAAAATACCAATGTTCAAGGGGGAAAGTGCGTGTCTTTCTTACGTGGATGCTCCTTGTCCTCCCAAAAGAAAGAAAATCTAGATGTCGTCTTTACACCTTTGAGATATTCCTTTGCGTCGTGCATTCTATACACAGGAGAGTGCGAGTAGCAAGCAATATCACGAGTACAAAGTAGACTCAGGTGTGGACAAGATTTCTTCATTTTTGTATGCTGCTGGCTTCATCGGGGCGTGAAGCGCTCTTCACGCCACCCCTTCTCTTTCCAATTTTATAAAACTACCAAAGGACAAAGGAACATTATTCATTACAAGTTGGAGTACTTCTTGAAAGCGCCAATCAGACCGCCAGTGGAGGCGTCGTGGCCCTCACCGTTGCCAGCCTCGTCAAGCTCCTTGAGAATCTTCTTGGCCAGGACCTTGCCCAGCTCGACACCCCACTGGTCAAAGGCGTTGATGTCCCAGATGGCGGCCTCAGTGAAGGTAAGGTGCTCGTAGTAGACAATCAGAGCACCAAGCTCGGCGGGGCCAATGTGGCCACCGACCAAGATGCTGGTGGTGGGGCGGTTGCCGAGGAAGATCTTGTGGGGGACAAGCTCCTCGGGGGCACCCTCGGCGCGGACCTGGTCAGCGGTCTTGCCAACCATCAGGGCCTCAGCCTGGGCAAAGTAGTTGGAGGCGAGCATCTTCTGGTGGACACCGTCGCCAATGGGGTTGTGGCTCTTGGCGGCCAAAATGAAGTCGGCGGGGATCAGCTTGGTACCCTGGTGGACGAGCTGGAAGAAGGAGTGCTGGGCGTTGGTGCAGGGCTCGCCGAAGAGGATGGGACCTAGTCATGGTTGTTAGTCTTTAGGAGCATAGTCGTATCAAGGCATGTTCTTACCGGTGGTGTACTTGGCGGGAGTTCCGTCAGAGGTGATGGTCTTGCCATTGGACTCCATGGAAAGCTGCTGGAGGTAGGCAGGGAAGCGGTGCAGGTACTGGTCGAAGCTGTTTGCGACTGGTAAGAATCGAACAATCTATTGATGCTCGGCGTAGGAAACACTCACGGAGCAACCAGGTGGGTCTGGGCCTGGAAGAAGTCAGAGTACCAAACGCTCAGGAGACCTCCCAGAACGGGGATGTTTTCCGCAAGGGGAGTCTCGCGGAAGTGCTTGTCCATCTCGTGGGCACCGGCAAGGAACTTATGGAAGTTGTCGTAGCCGACGTAGATGGCGACACTGAGGCCAATGGCACTCCAGACGGAGTAGCGACCGCCAACCCAGCTCTCGAAGCCGAACATGTTCTTGGCGTCGATGCCGAACTTGGTGACCTCCTCCTCGTTGGTGGACAGAGCAACAAAGTGCTTGGCGATCTCGCCCTTGCCGTCCGTCTTCTCGAGGAACCACGACTTGGCCGTGTTGGCGTTGGTGGTGGTCTCCGCGGTGGTGAAGGTCTTGGAGGCGATGAGGAAGAGGGTGGTCTCGGGATCCGAGTTGGCGAGGGCCTCGGCCATGTGGGTACCGTCAATGTTGGAGACGAAGTGGAGGGTTTGGTCCTTGGCACCGTAGTGCTTGAGGGCCTCGGTGACCATGACGGGGCCGCTGCGAGGGATGTTAGTTCGAACGCCGGAGGCTTCTCTGTGTTCACAGGTAAGAGGGGGAGCAGAAAAGACTCACAGATCGGAACCTCCGATACCGACGTTGACAATGGTGGTGAGCTTCTTGCCGGTGTAGCCCTTCCACTCGCCGCTGCGGACCTGCTCGGAGAACTCCTTCATGTGCTCGAGAACCTCGCGGACACCGCCCTTGTTGCCCATGACGTCGACACCGTCCACCTTCATGTCCCAGTCGCCGACGTTGCGGAGGGCGGAGTGGTAGACGGCGCGCTTCTCGGTGAAGTTGATTTTCTCGCCGGCGAACATGGCATCGCGCTTCTTCTCGAGGTTGGCCTGCTCGGCGAGCTTGACGAGGAGGTGGAGGGTCTCATCGTTGAGGAAGTTCTTTGAAAAGTCAAAGAGGATGTCGGTGCCCGAAGCCGAGTTCTTGAAGGTACGGCTGAACTTGGCGAAACGATCCGTGTCGGCTGCGAAGGCTTCCTTCAGGACAAAGTTCTTGCCGACGTTGTCGCGGTGAGCCTGGAGCTCGGCCCACGCGGGAAGGCTGGATGCTTGAGGCATTTTGGGCGGTATGGAGTGTAGTCGATAGAAGCTAGAGATTGGACGATGGTGATCTTTGGAGGAAGAGAACGTCAGCAATGGGATTCTATGGGCATGTATGCAGGAGTGGTGATGGGAAGTGTACCTCTTGGGTATCGAATTGACCAAGTGAAGGTATATAGAGATCAGGCTAAAAACAAGAAAAGGAGGTATGTAAAAAGTCAGGTTAGGTAAAAGGTGTGTGTGTGTGTGTTGTCGTGGACTGACTATGACAGTGGGAAGAGCAGGACGGGGAGAGTTGCGGCGGTTCTACTGGGACCTAAGCAACCGTGGAAGTGAAAGTGGGATGGTTGGATGGGTGCGGCGTTCAGAGCTTGGGAGCAGCCAATAGGAGGGCTCAACTCGAGGTGGCATGTCTGGCGTGGAGGGGTAATTGCGTACAAAAACACTGCTGGAACGCGGGGCATGGCACGCTGTATTCGCACCGAGTGACAGTGGAGGGCCTGGGAAGCGGAAGCAAAAGCACTGACTGACCTTGGGGGGAGGAGAAATGACGCCAGGTGAATTACCTAAGCGTACTAATGTACCTCAAATACCTACCTGAGGAGATTCTGCAAGTGGAAGAGAGCTACCTAAGGTACAAGGACGCTCAGTAAGGCAAGTGCAGGGGATGAGGTAGACAGATGGGGGTATCAATGTTGGTAGGTTAGAGAAGATGGGAAAATGCAAGGCAGAGGGAGAGCAAAGAGGGAAAGGGACAAGAGCAAGAGGATAAGCAATGTGGGAGGGCTGCGCTTTAGAAGAAATTGGAACACGAGACGACGATACCTCTCACAAGTTCACCCTTCACTTACGGATATTGTCAAGGCCGTCGGATATCTCTCACGAGCTGCGGTAACTTAAGTCGAGAGAAGTGGGCTGGGAACCGGGTCCCGTCGCTATTGTTGAGTGAATTGGTGAGGTCCTCGCCCAAGTTTCTCCGTCATCGTCCACCGTCATACCCCCTGCCCCGCCGTGCCCCCGCCGGCGTCGCTGTGACAGCCCCGAAGCAGAACGAAGCTTACCTAAACACACGATGCCATGCTCCGTACCTCGCACTTCCCTCGTCTCGACGGTCTCCCAGCCATCCACTAACACCTATCGCCATCTTCCATCCACAATCTCAGCCAACCGTACCAATTGACGCTCCTCTTTCTTATCTGCTATATCCGACAGCCGATTACTCATGGCGAATGCATTGAAGCTACCTTAATAACCCCCCATCCAAACCCCCACCAACCAAGTCCCGCGGACAAGTTCATTTTTTTCGGCCCTTGAACTGGAGCTTTAGTGTACCTGCCTGCTCCCCGGGATAATGAGATATTTTGTCTTCGGGGCAATTCCGTCCGGGGGGATACTTGAGGCTGTTCATGGAGCACATAAACTCGGCCTCCGACCCCCTGCGGCGACGAAATGTGCAACCTGGAAATCCATTGACTTCCTCAAGCAGCTCAGTTGAGGCTGGCATGCCGCAGAACATCGTGAACCTTGAGACGACAGGTCTTGAAGCGGTCACTCCGATATGGTGGGCCCTGCGCTGACTAACTCCCGCTACATCCCGTCCCGGTAGATCCGACGTCCGATCTCTTTTGTCAGACACCACCATTGACGTCCCGGCCCGATTCCGTCCTCTATCCCCAGGCGGGGATCTGTCACCATGTACAAATTCCAAGTTTGCAACTTACATTCCTTAGCACGTTAGCTTAGAGGCCTATGAGTTGGAGATGCCACCAAGGATTGAGGGTGCATCACTACTATGCCGAGCTGGACGGTGCAGAAAGAGATGCCCGTGAATGATGATGCTGAGAGCTGATTCGTCTGTCTGTCTGCTCAATGATCTGTGCCTATCTACATTTCCTTTTCCCCAAAAGGCGTCATCATGCCCATTCCAAAACGCCGTACAAAGACGAAGATGCAAAGCTGTTTGTTGTCGAGTGCGCGTGCGCACTCAATGTGCCCCCGACCATTCCCTGTCGAGTTGCTTTGCTGTAAGCTTAGCTTAAGCTAAACCCTTGAATCACCAAGCCCACTCCACACAATATCATGCTTCGCTTTCTTTCTAGCCCTGCCCTGCTCTGCCCCTTTGCTGGGCCTGCTTCCTGCCCAATTTTATTCTTCAAGCATGCTCAACTCGTCCATTGACTCGTCGTGCTCAAGCCGTCTATCGGTTGTCCTGGATGCTGCCCACAAAGGAAGGGTCCTTGACACTGCCTCCGGCATCACCCAGGCCCGCAATAGGTCGGTTATAGCTGAAGCCCTGGAACTGGTTCTGCATCGTCTGCGAGAGCATCGGGCCCTCCACGTACGAATCCTGGGGTGCTTCTGACGTGAACTCGGGATCGAAGTTGGCTGTATCGAGAGCGTCCACCTGAAAGAAAACACGTGTTAGCGGAAGCTGCCATGGGAGCAAATCACATTTTTCTTTTTTGGCATTGCCATCATCATATCATTACTTACCACATTGGGCTTGAACGCAGGCTCGTACTTGCGCTGCAGAAGCTTGCGCCAGTCAATGGCGTGGAAGAAGGGATGGGCCTTAATCTCGGCCGATCCATTGGCACCGAGACGCTCCTTGGGGTCGCGGTTGAGGAGCTTCGTCAAGAGATCCTTGGCCGCGGGGGGCACGACGTCATGGCCGGGGAAGTGGAGAGGCTCCGAGAGGATCTTGCGATACATCTCGTTCGTGTTCTCGTCGTAGAAGGGGGGCAGTCCCGTCAACATCTCGTACAGGAGAACACCAAGGGTCCACCAGTCCACCGTCTTGTTGTAGCCCTGGCCCATGAGCAGCTCAGGCGCCAGGTACTCGGGCGTACCGCAGAATGTGTTGGTTCTGTCCTCGTCCTTCATGTCCAGCTTGCAAAGGCCAAAGTCGCAGAGGGCAATGTGTCCCTGGTAGTCGAGGAGAATGTTCTCGGGCTTGAGATCGCGGTAGATGACGTTGAAGCCGTGGAGGCACTCTAGAGCGCAGAGGAGTTCGGCAGTGTAGAAGCGCGAGCGGTTGACGTCGAATCTTTGCTCCTTTTGGAGGTGGTGGAAAAGCTCGCCTCCGTTGACAAAGGCCAAGACGAAGTAGAGCTTCTCAGGCGACTGGAAGGTAAACTTGAGAGGAACGATGAAGGGGTTGTTAATCTGCGCCAATACCGAGCGCTCGGCAAGGGTATGGGCAACCTCGGATCTGGAGATGATGTGTGCTTTTCGGATCGTCTTGAGGGCGTAGATTCTGTTCGTGTCCTTCTTGCGCACCTGCATGACCTTGCCAAAGCTACCCTTGCCCACCACCTTGAGCAGCTCAAAGTCCTCAATCTTGAGCTTTCCGGCGCGGTTCTCGACGTACTCGACACCGATCTTGACCTTTCCAGTTCCGTACTGCACATCCACCCATTCGACTCCGCTGTGGCCGAGGGCGCGCTCGCGAGCGGCAAAGTCAGCCGCAGCCTTCTCGCGGTCCTTCTTGCTCAGCTTGGGGTCCTCGACGAACTGGTGCTTCTCCTCGAAGCGGGGGTTGATGCGGGCAACACCGAGGAAGATATCCTGGCTACGACCGGATCCGGGAGTAGCGAGAGGGTTGCGCATGTACAAGTGAATGACGAGTTCCGTCACGCGAGACACATCGAACTTGTACTGAGTGTTTCCTCCGGCCCAGAGGGGGTTCTCTGGTGTTCCCTCGACCGAGTTGACGAAGACCTGCATCTTGTCGAAATCCAGCAAGGCGTAGGGCATGTACTTGCCGGAAATGCGGCCATGGTTGGTAGGAATTCCAGTAAAGCCACCGCCAGATGTCTGTGGCCGAGCCGCGCCATTGATGAAGGAGCCGACAGCTCCTCGTTGTGAAGAAGAGGGACGCACGGAGCCGGCGACGCTGAGGGCACCGCCTGTGGACAGCGAACCTTGGTGTGAGGAGGCGAATGCTGCTCTGTGTTGTTCGGGGAGGGAGAATCCGTGGCCCTCGTGGAGGGTGACGACGAGAATACCGGGCTTGGGAGGGTTGACGACTGGTACTTGCGCCATGGCCTCAGAGGCAGCTGTAGTAGTGGGTTAGTATCAAGACGACAAGAGTAATGGGTCGGTCGGTATGGGGATATTGGAGGTTCGTGGACGGGAAGACGTACCGATAGTGTTTTCGTTCGTGGGAGTGGCCGAGCCTGCAATGTTGGCCTGGGCCTTTTCGCTGCTGTCGGTAATGGTAGACGTAGAGGGGGATCGAGAGAAGGTGTTGGCCAAGGGACCCAAATGGGTCTCCTTGAGCTTCTTCGTCAACTTCCACGACATTTTGGCAGGAAGAAGGTACGAAGGAGGGGGGGATTTATTGCCGAATGCGCAGATGGCGAATCGGACTAGTGACGATGAAAATGGGTGTTGAGAAGTCAAAGTCGGGGTGATTGATGGTGCGTGCGATCAAAGGTGAGGAGAGTGCCGTCGAGAGAATGCGAGGTGGTGAGGTGAGGTTTAGGTGAGCCTTTGGGGTGAGGCGAAGCGAGTCGAGGCGGGGCGAGGAATAAAGATTGCTGTTTGGTGTTTTTGGGGGTGCGGTAGATAATGCACAGGTAGGTACGGTACCAAAGAGTAAGGTACGGTACGGTACGAGCACGGGTACGGGTAGGAGAGGATTCAAAGAGAGAGGGTATGTATGTGTGAGTGAGAGAGAGAGGAGTGGTCGCTCTGGGGTCGTGATTTGTTGGTGGAGGTTCAAGGTTGGCGTACAAAGACTCTCGTTGGATCGTTGTGCTGGAGGAACCCCGCAAATTCCGCCCCCTCTCTTACTGCGTAGGCCTTTGGCTTCTTTTTTGGGGGTGGACGGACGGTACGTGTGTGGTGAGACAATCTGGCGCCGCTGGGCTGGGAGGTTTGGTTGGTTAGCTGGGTTCTGGTCACTGTTGCTGCTGCGCTGCTTGGTACCTTGTGCTGGGAATATTGCTGACAAAAACGGGGTGACGGGGTGGCACAGTGGTGCAAGATTCCAAGTTCCAAGAGAAATCCAGTGG